CATTGCTTGAGGAGAGTAGTGCTTGTAATCTCTGGGTTGGGTTTAAGTCGGTTTCAATGGCAGGCTTAACTTCTTGCTGAGGAAAAGGTTTTGCAGCACACATTTTTACAACTCATTGTAAAATATGGCTGTGGTTTCATGTGGTTAAAATAAAGATTCTCAACCATGTATCTGCTGCAAATGGACTCAAGAAATAGCTGGTTTGCCCATACGCCTCCAGGCAATGTTCTCAAATTTGGTTCCCCAGATGTTATTGGATTTTAGTTTCCCAAAATTCCTCAGGGAAAGCCTTTTGTTTGCATCTTCTGAAAGTTTTGTTTATTCTTTAAAAACTTGAGATTGTGATTATTTTGATTATTTTGATATACATATTGTAAACTGATTTTTCCTGGGTCAGATCAGTGAAAATTTAATCAAGTGTTGCCTATTGATCCCTTGTGGTTACCATGCTATTGGAGATAATGTATCCACTCTGGGCTTTACTCCAAAACACGAACAGAGTTGTCATCTAATTTTTTTCATGTCAGGAGTGACTTGAGAAACTGCAAGGTGGTGCAATGGGTTAAACCCTTATGCCTGCAGGACCGCTGACCAACAGGTCAGCGGTTCAGATCCAGGGAGAGCGGGTTGAGCTCCCTCTGTCAGCTCCAGATTCCCATGTGGAGACATGTGAGAAGCCTCCCACAAGGATGGTAAAACATCTTGACATCCCCTGGCCAATGTCTTTGCGGATGGCCAATTCTCTCTCACCAGAAGCGACTTGAAGAAGCTTAATCTAAATAATGTAGAAGTTACCATACATGACTGTTATTGACTCATTCTGATTGACAGTGGCTCTTCACAGAATATCAGGCAGGCTTCATTGTCTCCTTCTCAACACACACACACACACACTTATTAGAAGTGTTTGGGATCAAACCTTAAGGCATTTGCTTAAAGATCCTATATTATATCACTGAATCCCTGTCCCCCACAAGGGATAGTTAGCCATTTTGAACAGATAATTTACATATTGGGCTTGTAAGTAACTAGCAGATTTGGCCCCAAACAAGGGGAAAAAATTATACATTTTTTCCATGGACATTAATTAACAAATGTATGATTGGAGAGGCTTTCTGAACATTTACAATCTATTACGGTAATTTTTTAGCCAGGATCCAAAATTGTAACTTTTTAGAGATTATGTAAAAGGGGCATTTAAAACAATAAATATACACTAATTTCTCCTTCCTGTGTCCTTCAGAGGCTTAGTTAACTACTATTTCCCAAGATAATTTTCTTGTTATGCTAAATAGAAGCACAAAACTCTGCCGCCAACTTGCCTCCAGTGGCTTGAAACTTTGAATCTGGCTGTAATTTCTGAGGTCCATTGTGCAAATATTTGAATGTAGCTTAGGGCATGTTCCTAACTACTTATGTCTATTTTCCCAAATGGTAATTGGAAATTAGATTCGGAAATACTGTGACTTGGAGCCATTTAGCTTTCAAACCTTTTACCTATGGGGAACATTTTCCGTGTTTTAAAAGCAAAATTCCACATTGCAAATAAATATCGCAAGAACTGCACAATACCATCAAATTGTCACTCTGTATCAGAAGGAAATGCAATTTATTCTATCAAGGAACACTGGCGCATTTGTACTTCAATCCCTGAAAAGTATTCTGGGGGACAGTTAGCACAATCTCTGCATAGACTGAAGGATTTTGAATGATATTTTTGAGTACATACTTTCATGGAGAACACTAACCAGACCCCCCTGGTCTTCACATTGATCCATAATAGGGCCAGGAATATTTTGACAAATGAACACAACAGAGCCTTCAGTCTGGATCAGGATGCTGGGATAGGAGGTCTGGATGAGTTACCCTTTCCTCCAAGGTCTCAGGAGGATCACGTTTCATATGTTTGTAGTGTTCCTTACCAAAACTCAACGGGACCGTGTTTACAATGGAAATGTCAGGCATGGGTTCTTAAACCACACAGATCCTCGCCTCCCTTTCTAATGTTGGCTTCCCAATCCAGATTGGAAAGAATGCATTAACTAGTTGTAAGCAACTGTCAGTTTGAGCTGCAGTGATTCATAGCCGGTTTTGATCTCTTCTCTTTTATGCTTTTATAAAGTGTGAAAGGGAGGAAATCTCGGACATGAAGTCATTGTGCCATCTAGTGGTTAAAGAGCATATTTGCTTGATTTGAAACAGTGGACTTCCAGGTCAAAGGAACTAATAACTGATGATCATGCTGCTACTTTCTGGTTGAGTTGGCCCCCAAAACAAGAAGTAGAATAAACAAAATTCTAACTTTATTACTACACAGTAGTTCATCATACTAGAGAATGAATCTACTTTAAATCCGGTTTCTGCCTCCTGCAGAATTCTGGGGTTTTTTTGTTTAGTGAGGCTGTTAAAGGCTCTTTCCTAGTGTGATGAGGTCCCAAGTCACATATAAACCATAAGATGGAAACTTGTGATATCTTCAGAACTCTTTTTCATCAGGCAGATGTTAAAGAGAAAGAGGAAGCACTTTTTTCTGCACCTGTTGTTTTTCCGTATTGAAAGCAAAATTCAAAACATTGCAAATAAATATGGCAAGAACTGCACAATACCCTAAAATAGTCACTCAGTATTAGATGGAAATGGAACCTGCTCTTGTTCATGCCTTTTCAGAGATACCAAGACCAATACTTCTTCATAATGAACCTTCTTCCCATTAATTTGCGTCTCCTGCTACAATCTATTGGTTTGTTCTCTGAAAAAGCGTGATTACAGTGCAACCATAAATCCCCAGTATGCTTTTGTGCTGAGTTTAGAAACATTACATAGCCCATCCAAAGCAAAACACAGCAATTTGGTGTCTTGTTTTTAGGTCTGTTCCTATGGTTATTTGGGGCACTGATTCAGAAAAATTATATTGGATAGACCAGGCTTAAGCAGCTGAGGGGGGAAAGGAAGGGGCCTGAGACTGTTAGGAATTGTGGGAGTTGAAGTCCAAAACACCTGGAGGACCAAAGTTTGCCCATGCCTGGGATAAACCATATCCGCTGTAGTTTCTTAGATATGGTTATCATGATCCTTTATGGGCAGATGGCAACAGGTATGTGGCATATGTTCTGTATCTCAAAAACTAGAGCTGAGAGGCAAAAACTGGTGCCATTTTTGGAATCAGCAAATGAGATATACCCAGAAACAGGTCTAACATATGAGGCACCAAAATGTGTGTTGGCCAGTGTTATTTTTGAGACTGTATTTCCAAGTTCCCTCAGCCAGCTCAGCTGATAGTTGCATAGTTGGAAGATTGTGGGAGTTGTCCCAAAAAGTGTCTTTCAAGCCTCACTGATTTGAAATTATTGGGTCACCAAGTAATTCCCCTTCTTTTCACTTGTTCTAATACCTATTTGTGAGCAAAAGGTTATTAAGAAGCAGCAAACACGATGTATGCATACAGTGAGTCCTTGGTATCTGTTGAGGTTTGGTTCTAGAACTGCCTGTGGATGCCAAAATCTTTGGATGCTCAGGTCCCATTATCTACAGTGGCATATTAAAATAGTGTCCCTGGTGGTGCAGTGGATTAAACCACTGGGCTGCTGAACTTGCTGACTGAAAGGTTGGTGGTTCGAATCTGTGAGCGGGGTGAGCTCCCACTGTTAGCCCCAGCTTCTGCCAACCTAGCAGTTCGAAAACATGCAAATGTGAGTAGATTAATAGGTACCGCTCTGGCAGGAAGGTAACGGCGCTCCATGCAGTCATACTGGCCACATGACCTTGGAGTGTCTACGGACAACGCCAGCTCTTTGGCTTAGAAATGGAGATGAGCACCATCCCCCAGAATCAGACTCAACTGGACTTAATGTCAGAGGGAAACCTTTACCTTTACCAGTATAAAAAGGCAAAATCAGGCTTTATTCCATGGTTTGAATATGTGGACACATCTCTTTAAATGGGAGTTTCAGAGGACAGTGCTATTGGATTGATATACGCAAATTGGTTGGTGATTGTTGGGAAAGTGCAAGATAGACCTTTGGTCTGATGTTTATACCTGCAAACACCTTTAAAATTCTTGCACATGTTTTGTATCTTTTAATGACACTTAGCATCATAGCCAAGATTACTGTGATATATTATAAATAGGACAAGATGAATTTGCGTGGAAAGATGTTTACAGTATAAATGAATACGGTTCACCATCCTAAGTGAAAACTATTTTTCTTTCCTTTTTTAAAAAAATTTGGAGAGCAAAAAGGTTCACTCTAGGCAAGCTGTCTTTGAAGAAAACAGCCTCTGACAAGCTACTACAGGCAACATTTAGAGGATATTAAAAACAACAACTTTTTCCCTGCTGGAAGCTGCCAGCAGAAGTTACTTCTAACCTCAAAGAGCATACAACTCCAGGCCTGTCCCTGAGAGAGAATTTGCCTGTGAGGTGAAAAATCCAAATCCAATTTTGTTTTTTAAAGCTATATTTTTATATGTGGCTGGCAGGATTCGAATATTCAGGGATTGGCTGGATCTCCCAAAAGGGCTCCAGGGGATATGCTGTAGCTCCTGACACACCCAGAACAGTTTATAGCATATTCTGTCATACAAGAAAACGAAGAGTGAGCTATTTTACACTCAGAGAGGGAGAAAAATTGGGAGTGGGAAAATGGGTGATGCTCAGCTAAATGCTCAGGATAACAGAGCAAAGACTTAAGTGGGTGATGGTGGAGAGAACAGTCATATCAGATGCATTTCGTGGTTTACTGCCCCACGGATATTTCAGTGATTCAGTAACATAGAGGAGGGGAAAAGCCATTTATCTCCACAAAAATCAACTTTGTGGAAATGTTTTCCCATTCTGAAAATAGCTCCTTTCTAACATTACAGAAAGCTGTTCTCTGCCTGCCTGCCTACCTCCCTTCCTGTTGTTAACAGGCAGTTGCTAAGCCGGACATGAGCTTTGAAATGTCAGCCGGCTCTTCTGTCATTGAATTACATTCACATCCTTTCTTCACCCCTTTCAGGTGCGTGTGTTTGTGAACCAGCTGTACCAGCCACCTTTAGTGGAGGACATTCAACAAAACCCCGATCTCCAGGCCATCCGCATTGCCTCAGTGAACCCTATCCTCGATCCCTGGGTCTATATTCTGCTGCGCAAGACTGTGCTGAGCAAAGCCATCGAGAAGGTCAAGTGTCTCTTCTGCCGCATTGGAGGGGCCCATCGGCAGCACTCGGGAAGCAATTTCAACTGTACCGATGGGCGCAGGGCATCCTCTGCCACAGCCACCCACTCTCCATCCTTCATCTCTCGAGAGTTGCGGGAGATCAGCAGCACCTCACAAACACTCCTCTACCCTCTGGAGCCAAGTGAAGGGACTGTTGGGGACCGTATGCTGTTACCGGGGGCCAGCAGCAACTTGGCTCAATCGGATACCACATCTGTAAGGACATTGAGAAGTTCAGATACTTCAGAGTCTTCACAGGGACAGGATGAGAATGTATTTTTGGTAAATGAACTCAGGCCTAGTAGGGTGAACCCCAATCCAAAGAGCAGCTCTCTTCAGGTCACCTTCCCTAGTGAGACACTGAACTTATCGGAGAAGTGTATATAAACCTGGGAGGACTTGTGCAAAAGATGGTCCTTCAAAAGACTGTCAGAGAGGAACTGGCATAACAAGACGGATCAAATGCCCAGCTCTTGCCATCTGGTCTGTTGTGACCTGCCATGACTTAAGGCACAACCAAGACCTATCTGGCTTTTCACTTTCCCAGTTCAATGGGATCAAGTAGCCATTTGGAGCAAGGTGGAAATGGGCACCTACACATAGGCAGCCATTGGAGGTGGAAGCTAAGCACCCTGACTTCTTGGTTGCTACACCTTCAGGCACTGGGTATGCCTTTTGTGGTGGGAAAAGAGGGTAGCTGCTGTATCTTTGTACTTTCATTATTATGTGATAAGCACATTTTTTTTGCAGGAGACGTAAGGACTATCTCCACTCTGCAGACCTTCTTCTGCTCTCAGACCCTGCTAATGTAACAGATGAATGTATTGGTGCCAGAAGAGTAGGCTGCAGCTTGTGCCTTGTCTTGCCCTGTGACATAGGACTGTTTTCCAGGGTTACAAAGAGTTGTAATTTCCCCCCAGTTCACTTAGAACTGAAGCATACTTATCCCTCATTCCTTTGCCCTCATTATGGAATAAGGTTGAGAGAGAAATCACTACAAGTTAGCTGCTGGTAGCTGTGCGTAACTGCTCCAGATGATATATGAAAGTGAAAATCTCTCAATTGGTATGAAAAAAATGTGAATTTCTTTCTCTGGTTGTAAATATATATATATACGTATCTTGTCTAAATGTATTTAAAAACTTTATATTCTTCTCTGTGAGAAGGTTAATTATTAATACAACGTATACTGAAAAAGAATGTTGCCAGCCCCCTTTGCCTCTAAATGCCTGCTGTTAGATAATTTTACATTAGATTAATTTTTGAAAGATGCAGATTCAGTGGTCCAAAGCAGAACTAAATAATTGGACAAGGCTGGAAGAGGTGGGAATTCAACCGAAATACATTATAATTGCACCAGGGAAAATAAAGGCTTTCTGTTTTTCAACATTTTGCTCATATTGTGTGTGCACACCCAAACAAGAAAGTGGAATTTATGTGCTGTGAATGCATGCTTGTAAAAATGAAATGGCTGCTACTTAGGCTAATAATACAGTTCTCTAAACATGTGATGCCCAGTTCTTTGCAGGCTTACTTACAGAAAAGCTCCATTGTCTTAATTGCACTTTGTTGTTAAGCACATCAACTTCAGCTTATGGCAACCCAATGAATGAAAGACCTCTGGGACACTCTCAACAGCCCTGCTCAGGTCTTGCAAACTCAGGCCTGTGGCTTCCACCTGTAATGCTTCTTTGTGCCTTTCCTATTGCCTCCTACCTTGCCAAGCATCATTGTCTTTTCCAGTGTGTCCTGTCTCCTCATGACATGTCCCAAGACTTGACAATCTCAGTTTAGTCATCTTGGCTTTGAAGCAGAGTCCAGATTTGGTTTGCTCTAGGACCTATTTATTTGTCTCCTAGGCACTAGTAGTCGTGAATGGTGACACTGGCAGAGGTACCAGCAGTGGTAAACCACTCTTGAAAACTTCCATCTTAAAAATCTTATGATCAGACAATGGTACTTCCTCCAAAATAAATATATATTGAATTGCAGCCTTAAGAACCTTAATAGGGGTGACTGCAATATCTAACCACTCTTCTAAAAGGTTTTCAGGATCCAGGTATAACATATTTCTGCTTGAGATCACTTTAATACTAAACTAGTATACTTGGAAAGAAGACCTCCTAAATTGAGTTAAGCCATTTAGTTAGGACTCTAATCCCAGGGCAGGTCATGCATGCAGTATCTCCATGCAAGAACATTCAGAGATATTCAATCAGGATTGTATTAGTGGCGGCACATGAGGAATTTCCATGCTGCCTCTGAAACGTACAAGTTTAGGAGAGGTCAAATTAGAACTATTGAACTGCATAAAAATTGAGGATGTGTGTTGTGGTGGTTGGATTAGGAATTTAACAGATCAGGATTCAAATCCCCCCTTGGGAACAGAAACCAGTTGGGTGACCTTAAGCTAGTTATATTTTCCCAGGCTCAAGGTAACAATGGCAAATAAATCTTGCTAGGAAAAACCAATTATAGGTTCACTTTAGGGTTAATATAGGGCAGAAATAATTTGAGGATACACAACAGAATGTGCCTGGCCCTCACTGTAGATCTACCACTTCATATAAGTGGGCCACAAACCAAGTTGCACTTAGTGCCTCTTCTTAAATGCTAATGAAATGTTTCTACATAGGATATTCTACCCAAACGGACATACTATAGGCTTACACCAAACAGCACTTATACACTTCCTATAAAACACAAAGAATTAAGGAAGAAGTAGGAAAGTGTAACTTTCCAGATATTATTGGGCTGCAGCTCCAAACATTAGATATGTTGTTTGGGGCTGCTGGGATCAGTACTCTAGCAACATCTGGAAAATGCTTTATGCCATCCAGAAAGAAGTATCATACACACGATTGTAAAACATGAAATTCAGGACTAGAAGCAATATGGTGTCAATGTTCAATTTTTTTTGTGAGTGAGCCTAGAGATTTATAGTGTTTGCGTGTTTGTTGCAGTATGATCTTGCCTATTTGTGAATGTGACATGTTTTCGTTGGGAGTGTTCCAGAGATGCAGCCCTACTCCAATAAGTTACTGAATCACAACTCCCATCCTGACACCCTGACTATATTGGCAAGACCTGATGGGACTTGTTGTCTAATAACGTATGGATCTTAACCTCTGGTAGGGGGGAAACTGCCCACACCACTGCTTTTGTGTCATTTTAGCCATTTTGAAATGTGATTGCCCAAACTGGTCTTATGGAAAATCTTTCCATTTTTTTTTTACACAAATACCAAGAATTTGCACTACTGCTTTGGAAATACTTAAACCACTAATAGATTAAATGGACATTACAGGGACCAATAGCCATAAGATTTCACTTCACTAAAATAGCAGGTAGCTACTAAAGACCAGAATAAATGTTTTATTTTTGTGCCATATTCAGCTGGATTTTTGTGCCTGAATGTTGTTACCTTGTGCATATATACAAAGGTCTAGTGTCTGTCTCCCATCCCCACCACACCAGGAACATGTTGTGCATGTTACATAGTTTAATGTGGTTTCCCTGTGAATCGCTTTCTGTTGGAATTCCATTTCTGGGCCTAAATATCAGTGATACATTTTACAAAACTGTTTGTACTGACACAAATCTCTTTTGGAAATTAAATGCAGATATACCATTGAAGTATAGAAGTCTATGTAAGTCTTTGCCTGTCTCATTCTCAGATCTAATCTTTTGGTTATCTCATCATGACACTGAAACATGAAAATCACACACTACAGAATGGAAATCTCAGTTTTGGGAAGAATTTTGTTGTACCATCCTTGATATTTTTCATCACCTTTTAATGAAAGGAGACTCATGGAACCTCTCAGCACATGAAGGGAAATAGACACACAGCTTTTATGTTTGATTATAGATCATATCTACACATATCTTCGGGTTATATTAGGTTCCTTGTCAGCCTACATTATTCATGGCACATTGGGGCACTGTGTCCTATGTAACTCTTCAATCATAGAATCATGGAGTTGGAAGAGACTTTGTGGACTTTTCAGTCCAACCCCTTGCCAAGAAGCAGGAAAATCGCATTCAAAGCACCCCCAACAAATAGCCATCCAGCCTCTATTTAAAAGCCTCCAAAGGAGCATCCACCACGCTCCAGGGCAGAGAGGAATTCTACTGCTGAACAGCCCTCACAGTTAGGAAGTTGTTCTTAATGTTCAGGTGGAATCTCCTTTCCTGTAGTTTGAAACCATTGTTCCACATCCTACTCTCCAGGGCAGCAGAAAACAAGCTTGCTCCTTCCTCCCCATGACTTCCCCTCCCATATTCATACATGGCCATCATGTCTCCTCTCAGCCTTCTATTCTGCATGCTAAATGTGCCCAGCTCTTTAAATTGCTCCTTTGCTCCTTATAGGGCTTGTTTTCCAGACCCTTGATTATTTTAGTCATCCTTTTCTGGAGACTTTCCAGCTTGTTGCCATCTCCCTTCAGTTGCAGTGCCCAGAGTTGGACACAGTATTCCAGGTGTGGTCTGACCAAAGCAGAATAGAGGGATATCATGACTTCCCTGGATCTAGACACCAGACTCCTATTTATGCAGGCCAAAATCCCATTGGCTTTTTAAGCTGCTGCATGACATTTTAGCTCATGTTTAACTTGTTGTCCACAAGGACTCCAAGATCTTTTTCACATGTACTGCTCTCGAGCCAGGCATCCCCCATTCATTTCATATTTTCTGCCTAAGTGGTGTTTCTTGCATTGTATAGTTGTCCATATAATGCAAAGTAAGATTAAAAATGAACCAGTGTATGTTTCACATCCAACACAATACCCATAGAGGACAAGAATTATCAGAGTCAGAATGGGAATTATGAGGAAGACGTCAAAATACGTCATGTGACTGATAACTTTGTCAGTGTCATAGAGCAATTATTTGCTCATTAAAACTATTAGTTTCCTCCTCCCCCCTCGATCTTTTGAAGGAGCACACAAATCATAAACAGTAGAAAACATTATGAACAAATAGAAGGTGGGGCTTTGAAATCAATGCTATCTTCAAATCATAAAATATGTAGCTAGATGAATCAAGAAAAGAAAAAGTAGCAGTGAGGTATTATTTTTCTCCCTTCACCAACATGTATGCAACTGCCAACTCTTGTGCATCTTAGCTTATGAAAACATATAACATTTGTTAATGTTTTATGATGCCAAAAGACTTACTCTTGCTTCAACAAACTAACATGACTAACTTGGAAGCAGAAACGTACTAGGGATCTGGCATTTGAAAACTATAGATAATTGCTGCAAAGTCCGAAATGTAAGGTGCTGGTATATCATTTTTTTTCCCAAAACAATGATTGCTAGACAAGCTAGAAGACTGAATTTCAGTGTGATATTGCCTACCAGATACCACAATTACAAAAACTGAAAATTGTATTTTTGTTACAAGTGTTCCATCTGCAGGAGCAAAATGTGAGTTGCATCTCTTAGTGCTTATATATCTTGGTTAACACCAATAAAATCAAATATAACATGTAGTGGCAAGTTCCAACAGTAGTCTCTTCTCCAATTATGCAGTCCGAATGCAAGGCTGGGTGCAGATAGAAATAGGAGTGTGATTACAGGAAAGCAAAGGGGATCACCCTATACAAACATATGCCCTTAGGTAGTCCAGGGCAACTTCAACTTTAATCACTCCCAGGAAAATTGGGGGGGGGGGGGGGGGGAGACCAAGCAACTCATACAAATTTCCATGTTGATCTACAAAATACTATGCACGAGGAGCATCCAATATGAATAATAAAATATTTCTTCAAGTTATCTCGATTCATATGAAGGAAAGGTGTCCACATATTACTTAGGCAATCCCTCATTGTTCGAGTATGATGGCCTTCCAAGTGTAGGGTTTTGGCAGTAGAGACATAGGTGACTGTGGAGCCTTATTCTTGACTCTCATGTTCTTCCACAGTGAGGGCATCGGTTTCCAGGTGGAAGGCAGTCCTGGTCAGAGCCTTCCTTATGGCATGTTTCTTTGGCTCTCCATTTGTGCCTCTTCAAATTCCGCAGCACTGCTAGTCACAGCTGACCCAGTTAGAGCGCTCAATGGCCAGGGCTTTCCAGTTCTCGGTGTCTATGTCACAGTTAAGCCCACCTTTAAATTTCATTTCCTGTCCACTGATATTCCATTTTCCATTCTTGCATTGGGAGTATAATAACTGCCTTGAGAGACAGTGATCAGGCATTCGGACAACGAGGTCAGTCCAGCGGAGTTGATGGCGTAGGGGCATCGCTTCAATGCTGGTGGTCTTTGCTTCTTCTAGGACTCTGACATTTGTCCACCTATCTTCCCAAGAGATTTGCAGGATTTTTCAGAGGCAACGCTGATGGAATCATTCCAGGAGTTGAGTGTGACATCTGCAGACAGTCCATGTTTCGCAGGTGTATAACAGGATTGGGAGCTTTATAAACAAGCACCTTGGTATCCCTACAGATGTCCCAATCCTGAAACACTCTCTGCTTCATTCGGAAAAATGCTGCACTCACAGAGCTCTGGCAGGACTTTTCACTGCAGTCACAGAGGAGGAGACGGGTATATAGTAGGGCTGGGCGGTTTCGTTTCGTTAATTCGTAATTCGTTAAAAATTCGTTATTTTTTTATAACGAAGCGATAACGAACCATTCTGGAGCAACTTAAAAATGAAACGAATTTTTAAATTCGTTTCGTAAATGCTTCGGATTCGTTATGTATTCGTTTCGTTATCGGTTTGAGGTCGTTTCGTTATTATTTCCGCATGTCTGGGGCAAGTTTTATAGCTGTTTTTTGTTTAATTAGTGAAAAAAATTATAATATCACACCAACAGTCAACAACAGAGGGAGAGGGAAGCTTCAGAAGTTCCCCCTGTCCCATTTGGAGGTTTTTTAGAGTATTGCGCGGTCGCGTCCGCCATTAACGAATCGATTCGTTATTGTTTCGTATTTGTTTCGTTAATGTTTCGTAATTTTTTACATTTACGAAATTTCGTAAATATCGAACTTTTTAAAAGAAAAATTTCGGAATTCTTTTAAATATCGAAACGCAAAAACCCCCAAAAAACGAATCGATTTTAGAAACAATTTTTTCCGTTGTTACCCAGGCCTAGTATATAGTAATAGAGCATTATATGGATCAGCCAGTAGAGGTCTCTTAGCCAAATCTGAGGCCATGAGATGTTCCACCTAGGAATTGTGATGGGCTTGCTTCAATGCTGGTTTACAATAAATGCCTCTTGCAATAAAGTCCTCAGAGTTACATACTGCTCCTTCTCCCCTTCTTCTCAGAAAAGCACTTTGTAAAATTAAGAACCACTGCACAACTGAGCTTGGGGTGTCTGAATGCCCAATTCAGCATGAAGTAAGCATCAGTGTTATCTAATATAGAGCAAATGCATTTTAAACAACATTTTGTTATTGTAGGAAACAAACTTTAATCATAATATGGAAATAGTTAATGACAACACTCAGAAACAGATGTCAGCATAGCAAAGCAACAAAACCTGTAGAATCAGTAACCAAACATTAACGACTGGGTTCTGAGAGAATACAATGTAGATACATACTGATGATGGCTTTCATCTTACTGTGTTATCACACAGTGGTGTACACACAAAGAGTGAAACAGAAAAGCCCTATTATGTGTAGATGAATCCACAACACCACTACCCGCATTAAAAATGGCAGCACCTTGAATGCCAACTACCTTATATTAGCTGCAAATTCTAAGGAGCAAAATGGGACTGTAGCTGCAATCTATTCATATTTGCCTGGAAATGATCATTTAACATTAGTAGAACAACTGAGAGAACATTAGTAATGCATATTGTGTGAGCAAGAGTCTCGGAAATCTGGTGCTTGCCATGGAAAAATGTTTAGTTGTTCTATTATTTTATGAGAATTGTTTGGATAAACTTTCTAGTACAACAAGAGACCATTCAAGGAAAGCAACTTTTGTAAACTTAAGACCTCAGTTAAGTTCTTTTTCAATTGATTACAAACTTGCTTGCTTATCTATTTATTTATTTATTCATTCATTCATCCAATTAAATTAACGTATACTGCACCTTTTCTCACTGAACAGGATCCATGATGGCTTCTCTCAAAAAAGGTCTTTCACTCAGCATTGTGTCATGAATAATTTATTCCACTCTTGCTAGTGAGAATATATATATGAGAATGCAATTGGCTTAAAGAATTCAGTGTGCCAAGTAAAATTTGGTTTCCTGGGATATACTACCTGCAGAACATATTTGTATAAAAAGCAAGTGGAATTTGGATTACCAGATCATCACAAAAGATCATATTAGATCCACATGCACAC